GTGCTGATGAGGATGTGGAGAAAAAGGAACCCTCTTGCACTGTTGGTGGGAATGCAGACTGGTGCAATTACTGTGGAAGACAATATGGAGTCTCCTCAAAAAGTTAAAAATGAAACTCCCATTTGACCCAATAATCCCACTTCTAAGACAATATCCCAAGAAATCAGAAATACTAATCTGAAAGGATATATGCACCTCTATGTTAATAGCAGTACAATTTACAATAGCTAAGATTGGAAAACAGCCTAAGTGCCCTTCAGCAGATGAGTGGATTAGAAAATGGTGGTACATCTACACAATGGAATACTAACTTGCTGTAAAAAAGAACTTTTACCATTTACAATAGCATGGATGGATCTGGAGAGCATTATGCTAAGCGAAATAAGCCAATTGGAGAAAGATAAATATCACATGATCTCACTCATATGTGGAATATAATGATCAAAATAATTTGATGAACAAGAATAGATCCAGAGACAAATGGGGGGGGGGGGGGGAGGAGGAAGTGTTAGAAAGCAACCAAAGGACTTGTATGCATGCATATTAGCATAACACAGACACTGGGTCAGTGGGGGCTTGCCTGAGGTGGGAATGGCTGGCGTGGGGTTGGGGGAGGTCAATCAGGGAAAAGGGAGACATATGTAAAACTTTAGACAATAAATAAATTTAAAAAATTAATTAAAAAATTGTAAGGGTATAAAGATTTAAATGTATATGCATCACAAAATTTTTCTTAAGGATGGCTTAGAGTTAGCTACAGTGTCAATAAACAATTTCCAGAAATATTTTTAAAAAGATAATTCCTAGATACATTTTCTTTGAGTTTTCATTTGAGGTTTCAAATTCTGTTTTTCATGTTTTTTAAGGAAACTGACCATACATATAGTTTCCATCACAAGAATAAAAATAAGTTTTAAAGGATTGTAGAATAGATCGGTAATATAAAATATTCTTTAGAAGAATGTAATTATAACACAGAAATGGTTTAGGAAGATCAGCTTCCTAAAAAGTTCATCCTGGTACATGCTGGTTTGTTCCTTATGCATTAGTTGCTCTTCCAGGTTAGGACATATCCAAACTTCCAGGACCATCCTGGACCCTCTTCCTCTTTATTAAGGGAGGGACATCCTCCCATCTTCACCAGGAGAGAGTGAAGGTTAGTTTAGCAGTGGCAAGCATCTGGTCTAGAGTAACCAAGTAGCACTAGGGACAAAGGTGTACTGGGGAGGTGATGAGATTGGATTACGTGTATTACGCAAACTGAGCAGCTGCAACTGAATGGGATTCGTAGATTAGAATTAATGGAAAACATACAACTGTTCTTTGTCATAGAAAGGGCTTCTTTGGATAGCAATTGGAGACACCTGTAGGGTTTTTAAGAGAGGCAATTTTATATTCATTATACTTTTTTCCCCCTGCTCTTCCTCTCTTTCTTCATCAGTTTTCTTTTTTTGGGAGTAAGTGGGTGGGTGTTGAAACCTTAGCCTATTCTCTTAACTAGAAGAGTATCTGCCAGCAGAAAAGTCAACAAACTCACAGGAGACAAAAGACATTCTTAGTTTGATTGCTCCTAATAAGCTTCAGTGCTTCCAGACCGCATAATGTCATAGAATTGTTTGTAGTGCTCCTTTAAAAGGGTGACAGGGTTCAGAAATAAACTGCACGTGGTAAGAAGAGCCTCCCCGGGGTTATGCCTGCGAAGTGAGTGGCGAGGCTTTGGGAGCAGTGGTGGTTTCCGGCCATTAGCGTTACTAACCGGGCGGGCTTCGCATTTATGGGAATCTACTCAGAGCAGGATGACACAGGCAACCTTCACTAAGCCACCCTGCCTGATTTCCTCAAGGTCATGCTGAAACAAACTTTCCTCCAATCATCTTTGATTGGAACGTTTCATTATTTTTATACGTCCTTGAGCTAGAGAGTGGCCAGGCAGTAGCTGCATTAGGTCCATGGGTCACACAATCATATCGAGTGCTTTGTGCCCGCATAAAGCAATTACTGTCAACTGTCAATTAACCTCTTTATCGAAGGAAGCATTAATGTAGAAAATACAAATCCTAGATAACCTACCCATGTCTTTCTTGCTGCCATAGTTGCAGCTGAGGGGAGAGTCAGATAATGGAAGTGCCGGAAGAGCTTGGGTTGAGAGGTCTCTTCAGGAAAATGTGAGCAGAGGTACTAAATTCAGCTGCCACTATGCCCGCTACTTAAGCCGACTGCCCTTTTGCACAGCACCAGGAAGCAAAAACAACAATGCTTTCCCCGCAACTTCTGGCTGAAAAACAAAAGGCATTGGGCAGGGGACGCCAGCAGAAAGCAGCAGGGAAGGCACACGGAGAGGCTGGCAGGCACTTGCAGTCAGAGCCCAGTGGCCTGGAGGGACCACAAGCGGGTTCTCTGCACCTTTCTCCATAGGAAGCTCATTGCCCAAGGCTCTTGGGGACAATGTTTGGGTGTTTTGCCCTTTAGGATTTTGACTGTGTCAACCCAATGTGGTAAAATGTGTCTAATTGCAAATGTTAAAATTAATCATTTATAATTTCTCATGTGATAAACATTCTTTTGATACAGGTTCCTACACAAATAACTGCATGTCCTGAAGGTCCTGGGCATTAGTGCTATTCCCATTGTTCTCAGGTGAGAAACCCTTCAGGTTGGCACCTCATCCAGGCCAGGAGCCACAGGAGGGGTGAAGATGACACCTCTTCAAGTGATCCCTCATGGCACTGCTCTGAGACGGGGTGACGTTTCAACAAGGGGGAGGGAGATAAAGCAGTAAGGATAAAACCACAGTGGGCTTCCAGGACCCATTGAGCAGGTGAGGGCCCTGGGGGGAAAGACAGAAGGGACAGCAGACTAAGATCACAGCAAAGACAAGCAAAAGAGAGCTGGGAAATAGTCTTCAGGAAATGAAGGCAAAAAAATTATAACATTATATGTTTTGATGAAGAAAATATTTTGAGTATGTTAAAAAAAAAAAGACAACAGATGCAAAATGGCATTATTTGTGCTAGGCCCCATGTCAGCAAACCAAGATTTAATTTAATACTTATGCTAGCTTCGGTTTCAGCTTGCCAGGAACATGACTTTTAACCAGGTAACATGGCATGGATAGGTAAGCATTAGTGAGATAACCCAGCCCATAGTCGCTTCTGTTCCCCTTTGGAGAGCAATCTTGCCTGAAAAAGCACATTCTTTCCTAATAATTTCCCTTGTCCACCCCCTTTCTGCATTTAAAAAACCTTTCCTTGTCCATAGCTCTGTGAGTTTCTTTTATTTGCTAGATGGGATGCTGTCCAATTCATGAATCACTGAATAAAACCAATCTGATCCTTAACATCACTAGGTTAAATTTTTGTTACTTAACAGATTAAAAGTATATAAAAAGCCAAATTCTGTAAATACAAATTTGCAATAAAATTAATGGGATCGAGGAAGAAGCCCATTGGCCAGTTTTTGCCTCAAAATGAATTTGTGTATATTAGAGTGAAAATCCGGTAGAAAATTGGATAAGTAGGTACAAAAAATCAAGTGAAAGAAAGAAATATTAAATAATACATAAAATATTGAAATCTGCTAAGCAACAGAAGTTGAGAGATTTGCTTGATAGCACCAATCTAAGTACCTACTTAGGTTTACAGGGGATAAGGATGAGGGAATCAGAAGGACTGTGACCAGATTATAATACACTCCTTGTGAAGTTGTCAAGGGCTACAGGATATTTTATACAAGAACATATATCTCAGTACATCAAAAAATAAGTCAGTGACAGTCTGGGCGCTTACTAATGGGTCTTAGAGCAGCATGTAGAGGCTTCCACCAACTATTTGTATAGATCTAAAAAAGGTGCAGAAGAGCCATTGGAAAGATTTAAAAACAACCTTCTGATTCTGACTACACTGAACCCTGGATGTGGTACGTGTGCTTGCCCAGGTCGCATGGGTGCTGCTATTTCCACAAATCAGCTGGAAAATGAAAGATCTGAATATAAATTAGGTAAAAGACATTTACTTGACTCGCAATTTGAGGTTTATGAGTCCTCTCATTCTTCTCCTGGCTATACACAGGTAAAAAACATCTATAGAATCTTTTGGGTCCCTGGCCCTTTAAAGAAACTTGGTCTATGTTTCCAACAGACCCAAACATGTTCAGAGCAGACCCAAACATTAAGCAACATTTATTTAGGAGATATTAGCTAATGGCACAGCTGGATAACTGAAGAAGTATGAGTTAATAATGATTTCATCTTTCTCATGTTCAAAAATACTAGAATGATCACAGACCCAAGGACCACACACTTGAAATTTGGGCAGCTTAAGAAACTGTGGAAGTGTGTTCCCCACTACCCCCTCCCCCCCCCCCCCCCCCCCGCAAAAAAAAAAAACTCACATTACCTCAGACTGTATTTGGAGGTAGGACTTTCAAGAGGAAATTAAGATTAAAGAGGTCTCCCATCCAAGTACTTATCAGGCCTGACCCTGCTTAGCTTTGGGGAACAGCCAGACACTGGGGGTGGGGTGGGTCAGGGCATGTGCCGTGTGCCAGGGGGTGGGGAAGGCTGGGGGGAGGTCAATGGGGGAAAAGGACACATATGTGCTACTATTTGTAATACTTTAAGCAATAAAAAAATTTAAAAAAATTAAATAAGGTCAGTGGGGGAACCTTAATCCAATATATGTCTGTATAAGAAGAGGAGAGTAGGACATTGATAAGCAGAGGGAAGTATATGTGAAAATGTATGGAGAAGTAGGCCACTTAAAAGCCAAGGAGAGAGGGATCAAAAAATCAACCTTGCTAACACTTTGATCTCAGACTTCTAGCTTCCAGAACCAGGAGAAAATGAATTCTGTTGTTTAAGCCACCCAATCTGAGGTGCTTTGTGATGGCAGTTATAACAAACTAATATTTTAGACTCCTATAATGAACCCCCTTTTTTCTTAGAAGTCTGAAATAAGACCCAATTTACTTTTGTGATTAAATGGATTCTACATGATACTCACAACCCCAACAGGAAAGGCCAACACAGCTAGTATCCAGTCCCGAAGAGAGATGAGCTTCCTGAGTTGCCTCTCTTGTTCTTGGTTCCCACTTCCTCTAGTCAGAAGACTGGAAAGATCAGTCAGCACACAGATGCCAAAAAACACAGCCTGTATAACCTGGAGGAGACAATAACTGCTGTTAGTCCATTAGCTCTACAGAGACCCAGACTGTACAACAGCAAATAAGCTACATGTTTGCAAAACAACATGTGGTAAGAGAGGATCAGAAGCACATTTAAAAAGCTGGCCATACATATAACAAAAGAGAAAGAAAGCTGAGAAAATTCATCTCACAACCATTACTTCCATTTTTGCTCACCTAAGGACAAATGCAAAACATGCATGCACACACACAGTTCGACAGAAAGCAACATCAATCATCAAAATGACATGTCCATTAATTTAACACCTGTGTTCTAGTTATATTGACTGGTGAGGTTTAACAAACATCTAAGACATGCAAGGAAAAGGACCAGCATATTCTGAATAATAAATGAGACAATTCAGTCTGACTGTGAAGAAACCTTCCTATGCTTTAATCTGTTAGAATTAGAATGTTTTATCAAATGGAGTGGTAGAAAGCATCTAGTCTATGAGTCGTAAATAAATCAACTGAATGCACTAATCAAGACTGGTGTAGAGCAAATTTTTGTTGTCAAACTTGAAGTAAATGATTTCCTTCTCAGGTTTTCAGTTTTTATGAACTAACATCTTCACAAGCACTGCAAACTTATGTAGATACTCACATCATTGTCCCCAAATAAAGTAACCAATTGTACTTTCCCAAATCAATTACAACCTGAATTACTTAACTTAACTGTTTTAATTGTACTATTACAGAGAAAGAACACTGAAATGCTACAACCCAATAATTATTTGTGAAATTCTTAATGTGGGTGCTAATGCATTAATGATCCAGAGCTACGAGTGGAGGCAGGCAACATACTGTAACACAGCTTGGCAACGATAATTCAGATTATGGAAAGGGCAGAAAATGTATTCCCTGGACTCAACGTCATGCCCATTTAACACCAACAAAAGATTCAAGAGTGTTATTCTGGTTTCTTCTAAGAGAAATGATTTTCTGATGTATTTATTTATAAAAGGTACAACTTTATTAATTACCTGTTTAGAAAACATAATTTGGGGGTAAATTTCCATGTTGGCTGTGGAAGAACCTGTGACAGCTCTGTGGATGGGTTCCCCATTGAGGCACAGAACAAAGGAAAGAAGGGCACTCAAAATCACCTGGTTCTACCCCTTAGCACAGCACTGCCACTCTCACATTGTTATTCACTCTGTTCAAAGTTGTATAGATGCCACTTTGAAAATTCCCTGTAATGGAAACTTCATGATCAGGCTGTGTTAAATAAACAAAAGTCCTTCAGTATGTTTATATATATAACTAGAGGCCCAGTGCACAAAATTCGTGCATGGGGGGGAGGGTGTCCCTCAGCCCAGCCTGCACCATCTCCAATCTGGAACCCCTCAAGGAATGTTCGACCACCCGTTTAGGCCCTATCCTACCAGGACTGCTGGCTCCCAACTGCTGGCTCTCAACTACTCTTCTGCCTGCCCTCCTGATTGCTCCTAACTGCTTCTGCCAGTCAGCCTGATCACTCCCTAACCACTCCCCTGCCATTCTGATTGATGCCTAACTGCACCCCCCTGTCAGCCTGATTGCCCCTAATTGCCCTCCTCTGTGGGCCTGGGAATGGAACAGACTGAAGATTCTCAGAGAGAAGGAGGTAGAGGGTGGGAAGATATTAAACAAAGATCCTATATGCATATATACATTACCTATGGACATAGACAATAGGGTGGTGCAAGAACAGGGCAGAGGGAAGCAATGGTTGGAGGTAGGAGGGGAGAGGGACATCTGTAATAATCTCAACAATAAAGATTTAAATAAATATATATTTTTAAATGTGAAGTTTACCCAGAGATGCACAAGTGAATCTTAAGTAGGATTACCTGGAAGCATTATTCAGCTCCAGCCATTCTACAGAGTTGGCATTTCTAAACCATCAACTCAGCATGACACACACATACACCATCTGGCTTTGAGTTCTTAGCAGGTTGGTGGCTTTTATTATTTTGTGTTACATGTAGAAATGAAGTGGTCAATTGTACCATTTCCCTCCAAGAAATATAAATAGGGATTTATCAGAATGCAAAAAATATCCTAGGATACTTTGGAGTCACTCTAGCATTTGTTCTTCTTGAACATTTTTCTACAGTTTAATTCCTTGTGCATCTTTTCTTTACACCCATAACTCTCCCTGTCAGAAACTTAGATTTTTTTTTTACTGAGTCATGTTAAGTTTAGGATTAATTTCCACAAATATGGAGATGTACCCAAATCCCATTCATATCCTTTTCTTTTTTACACATGAGTGATTTTCATTACATATGATTTTCATTCGTTATATATATAATTTTCTGCCCTAGCCTGTTTGGCTCAATGGATATAGCCATCAGCTGGGAACCGAAGGGTCCCAAGTTTGATTCTGATCATGGGCACACACCTCGGTTGTGGACTCCTTCCTAGCTCTGGTCTGGGCTCATGCAGGAGACAACCATTCATGTGCTTCTTTCACATCGATATTTCTATCTGTCTTTCCCTCTCTCTAAAATCAATGGAAAAATATCCTCAATTGAGAATTTAAAAAATGACAATAATAAAAGAAAAGAAATAAATAGAAATCCTAACAAAACAAAACAAAACACCAAAAACATATTTTCCTTTTTTTCTCTGAATGCACTAAACAATACAATTCTGTTTATACTTTAGGGAAAATTCAATAGACTTATATAATTTATCCATATATATAATGGTTTATCCAAAATAGGGTTTTTATTTTATTTCATTTTATTAGATTATCTTCAGTATCTTCAATTATATGTAATGATACCAAATCTATAGTCTATATATCAGGTCATGTCATCATTAATTAGTTTGCAATTTTTACATTCCTGCTTAATTAGCCAAACTCAGACAAGAACCAAAAATGCACCAAAGTGGAAAAATAACACCTTAAGTGATAATTTCAATCATTATTTATATGAATTTTTAAAGACCTGACTACCCATATCTTGCCCTTGGGAAGCAAGATTTCCAATGATTTATACTATGATGTAACACATTTTACTTATATTGCATTTACATAAAATGAACATAAAGAGTACTTTTGAAGATTTTGCTTATTTTAAAGTTACTGTTAGACATGGTAGACAGAATAAAAAGAAGATGTCACTCTGTGGGGCAATAACAAAACAACAGTGATGAAGAACATGGAATGAAGGAAAATTGTGGGGAGAACATATGGGAAGAAGGCAGGGAGACTTATAGGTATCATAAGGGAAATCCTAGAGGAGTTATCTATGTGAGGATAAGGGGATTAATCAGGAAGAAATAAAACTCTGCCTAAACTCTTTTATAGTGAGAGAACAAAGTACTATGTAACCTTTAATAAATGTATATGTAATCTAGGAAAGAATAGTATACAAGATGGATGGATGGATGGATGGATGGATAGATAGTTTAGATAGATAGATAGATAGATAGATAGATAGATAGATAGATAGATAGATAGAATAAGATATATAGCATTAAATAGATATGACACACAAATATAACATACATGGTATTTGTGCAAGATGTGTGTGTGTGTGTGTGTAATTTCTCCTACGCAGAAAGTCAGATAACACATTTGGATAAATGGTGTGAGCTTGAGGCCTTCCTATATATCTTAGTTATCGTTACTTAGCATGTGGCACTGTACCAAAAACATTTTGCTATCAGTTCATAAAACTTCCAATGCAGTTCTTGCCAGAAACCAATCTACGGCTGTATCTGTGCTCAATGAAGAATGAATTTGACCAAAGGAGTTAAATAATATGTGAAAAGGATCCAAAAGCAATAAAATAGCAGTACTAGTTAACACAATCTTCAAGGGAGTCCCCATTCATTCTACACATATCTTACTTTTTAATGGTGCATAATTCCTTCTCCTTATTACCAAGATCAAGAGTGAATGCCAAAAGTATTTAGGCACTGTGGGACAGTGAGTGGATATGAAATTAGATGAATGTATCACATGATCTCAGTCATATGTGGAATCTAATGAACAAAGTAAACTGATGAACATAATAGATCCAGAGACATAGAAGCATGGAACAGACTGACAAATCTCATAAGGAAGGTCAAGGAGGGTGGGTGGATGGGCAGAGATTAACTAAAGAACTTGTATGCATATATGCATAACCCAAGGACACAGATAGTAGGGTGGTAAAGGCCTGGGATAGGGTGGGGAGGCAGCTAGAAAAGGTCAGTGGGGGAAAAGGGGGACATCTGCAATACTTTCAACAATAAAGACTAAAAAAAAGAAAGAAAACAAAGAAAGGAAGAAATTAGAGGAATGAATTATTGTAGGATTCCTTTGCATTTGTTTCCAGTACTTTCCTTGCTTGAGACATCTGAACATACCTAGCAGTTCTTCAGCTACAGGGATCCATCTCAGTTACTGTATGGAGTCTGTCCATTGCCAAAAAGCTGTTATCAGTTACATGTTTGAATACTACTCCGTAGAGAAATCAATGCATTTAAAAGTACCAGAGGGTCTCTCTGCTTCCTTCATCCTCTGAGACTATACCCATCAGATGCATTGCCTGGTGAATTTTTCTCTACTGCCCTTAGAGAGCATGAGCCTGAATAAGCCAATTTGGCTCTCTGACTGTAATGACTGTAACGCTATTTTTCTAACTCTGTCATTAAAATGATGTGCTTTAAGCCCAAGCATTCTCAAAGAATGTTCACCACAAGCATTTTTGAGGAGATGGACTCACAGCATCAAGCCCGTGGTTTTCAGAATGTGATTTAGAATCCTTGCCCATGTACACAGACATTTACCTCATAGTGCTCTATCTCATTACTGAAAATTGATGAAGTAAGCCATAAGTCACCACAGGCAAGCAATCCATTCAGATAGAAAGAAAGAAAAACAAACTTTTCAGTCAAAAATAATGCATTTGGATAAGCAGCTTTGGAAAGGAAAGCATGCCCACAAAATTCGTTACAATTATCGCATAATCGGTAAGTAGCAAGACGAGTCATC